TTCCTGTGGTCTCGCACTTAAAATTTTCTAAACCCAAAATAGAAGTGAACCAAATATCAGTCTTTCTTAAAATAAACATGTATTTACAAATGTTATCCCAGATCTTGGGAAATAATACATTTTCAATACTTGTATTTCTTCTGTTTCAAGAAGCCTTAGCCAGTGGGCCAGTGTAAACCAGTCTACTTGAGGGGTAAACCAGTCTACAGAGTTCATGAAAGATATGAAGGAAAATTCATTATGTCTGCAGCAGGGAGTACCTTAGTTGTAGATATAAGGAATAGTCATAGGGCTATGTTCTTTCATCTTTGTGAATTAGATTACTATAAATGTAGCTATTGAATAAATAACCCTCTGTTTGTTAAATTTTCTATCTACATATGGGAACCAAATTTAAGTTAATTTTTGTATCCTGTAGTTATGCAAATCAGCTTGCTACTTTCTCTCTAGATAAAGTGATTGTAATGGAGATGAACAGTTCATGATTTCTAAAGCTTTTACTAGTTATCACTTTTAAATTTGACTTCCTCCATCTTTTTCCAAGCTTTGCTTTTTGGCTTTTCAGAGATTTTGTTTTTTAGCAGAAGCATGTTACAGAACAAAACTTCATTCCCATTAAACACACTAGGTCTATCAAAAAAAGCCTACAACTATCTAGTAAGATTGCTACATCATTACTGCTTGGGGAAGGAGCTATCCTGCTGCTGTTTAGTACACAGATTACCCTTGTGCATGCCTGGGGTGAGTAGTTACTGCTCAAAGAGGATGAGGTTAGAAGCATATCTCAGAGGCAAAATCAGTCGTCCAGTAAGAGGGTTGTGTATCTAGTTATGAACTTTTCGAAATGAACTGGGACTGTCACTCTGGATTTGCTGTTAGAGGGAAGTTTGTTGTCTTGCTTCTATGGTCTTTTTTAAAAAGACAGCTAAAAAAGGTGGTTTGCAGATAAGTGCCAAGTGAAACAGAACAAAACTATTGCTTGGGATGGTGTTCCTGTCTGCTTGACAAGGAAGACGTTTTGCAATTTTGTGGATAGTTTTGGAGCTTCAGAGCCCCATCGGAATGGATAAATTCTAAAATAAACTAAGTTTGCTGCCAAGCACTCTTAGTCAACTCTAAAGGCACACGGTAGAAAAAGGCAAACTGTAGGGCTAACAGACCAAAACCGTTAAAATTTCTTTTCACCACCACTGATTAAGGAAGATAAAGTTGAGAGATAGGCAAGTCTTTCAAGGAAAAATGCATTTTCTCCTAGATTGACAAATGATGCTTAGGCTCTGTTCAACTACACTGGATTTTTCCTTGGGTTTTGCACCAGCAATGTAAGTCTTTCCAGAAGACCATTTCATGAATTAAACTGGTTTCATCAAGTCCTGTGTAACTTTGAAGACCCTAAATTGCAGCTTACAGCAGCCTCCAAAAAGCCTTTCTTTTTTGTTGTATTTAGTAGCTGTCAGCAGCATAGCAGAGCAGTGATTGGGCACAGAATTACTTTGCTTATTTGTGTGGTACTTGGATCTGCCATCAGTCTTTTCTTGAGGTAGGAATAATTGTTGTCAGTCCTGTTTATTAGGGTTCATTGTTTGTTCAGTGACAAGGCCCTAAACTATACTACTTAATTAAGAAAAAAGCTTCTGAAGGAGTTGAAAGAAATTAAATGGAAATTACTCTTTGATGTGCACTAGAAGAGCAAGAAACCCAAGAAATGGTTGGAAAAGGTGAGTGCTAGCACACAGACTGTACCTTTTATATGTGTCATTACATGGGAACAAAATAAGCTTTCCTAAGATTACATATGTCAGGAAGTAACTGAGGAACATGCTGTTTGCATTAGAACTAAGCAGCCACTAGATGTGTCAAGTGCATTACACAGAACAGCATATCCAGGAGTGACTTACTCCCACAAAGGCTGTAGGGCTCTAACATGTCTCACCAGCAGAGCTGCAGGCTTTTGACACATTACTTCAAAGGTCTGGTCTTAGGATCAGCATCCCATCTGTACAGACTTGCCTGGCTCAGCTAAAATTTGTCAAAAATATGTAGGGATTAGTCAAGACTATTACAAATAATAATGGAAACAAAAAGTTGTGAGTTTAACTCATATTCAAGTACAATTCACTTCTCTCCTTTGGAAGGAAAAATAAAGTGCTGCTTTCACATACAGCTATTTTAAGTGAACCAGTGTTAATACTGCAGCACTTACATCATGTTAAAATGGCTTGTACATAACTAGCTACAAGAAAAATGGAAATAGGTAGGAGCTGTTTATCTTTTAATTAGGGATATTAGCTGTTTGAAAGTAGTGAAGTGTTCAAATTTAATGCCATGCACAAATGAATCTCTCTATTAAGTGTAATCATTTTTTTTCAGCTTGTATAATAATACCACAGGTCAGTATACCAACTAAACTCAGTCTATATATCTGCTACTGACTTGACACTGTTTTATTCCACCTTCAGAATTAAAACATGTCTAATATTTGCTTCTACAATGGATCCCAGAATAACTCACTGCTATCTTTTAAAATGCTTGTCATAAGGAAAGTGAGGATGGGAAATATTTTCTCTTGGTTTCTATATTGATCACATTACCTACTCTACCCACTTTTGCGGAGATACAGTTGGTGGTTCATCAGCAAAGTCATCATCATGTTCAATGGCCTAAAGGCCATTGAGTCTTCACTGCTGAGCAACTTCCCGAAGTGTACTGTGAGGACAATCAAGATTAATTAGATTCAATTTTCTAAAAGCACTGAAATAAGTTCTTTCACTGTCATCTGGATTGCTGCTTTAACGACTCTCTTAAATTAAATGTAGGAACCAAGCCAGTTTAATTAGGTAATGTTTATTTTACATAGAACAATCTCCAAAGAATATTTTAAAAAAATCTAAATACTGATTTTTATTTTCTTACAAAACAGACAGGCACAATTTATGTATTCAAATACTTCAAACTGAACAACTGTTCACTATTCAGATTTCCCCAATGCCACTCCAAAGGCTGTGAAAGTAGAAAATGTCATTTTACATGAGGCAGTAGTGCATTTAGTAGGAATGAATCACAAAATATATTTTTGTACAGTAAGACGTTATTGTCACTTTATAATTACCTATAAAAATTTTTGAATTGCACAATAAGTTTGCTTTACAATTGACAACTGCCAGAAAATAGGCTTAGTATGTAACTAAATATTTATCCAAACTATCCCCAAACAAATTAAGATTTCTCTTGGTAAATACTTAAAGTGTAGTAAGAACTCTATTGTCTATCTGAGGTCATTTTAAAATGTTTTAATAGGAAGAAGTTTATATATTCAACTAAATTTAATTTCTGCCTACCTTAAAATCCATATAACCACAATAGCTGAGTGTCCTAAGCAATATTTTGATTTCAAAGTACCAACACCAATGAAATTTGGAACTGTTTAAATTAATTTATTTCCTATTTTTCTGCTTCATCATCAATGCTGAAAAGGCACTGTGTACATTCCTCTGAACATTTGGTGTCTTAGGGGTTTTTTTTAAAGTTAAAAAGTGTACAATGACAAGCCTTGAACAAAAGTTTAAAAGCAAAAAAATACTGAATAGACTCCCCATTGATGGATGTAGTCCATTGTATCTGAAGACACTCATTTTCCATAGAACTTCTTATTCAACAAGAATATGAGCAAGTTCACATTCACTTTAGCTTTATCAAACATTTTCATTACAGCCACACCTTCATACTGCATCTGAAGCAAATCCTGTAATCAGAAATAAAATCATTAGTCTCTGTTTGAATCCATACATTATAGCAACGAGGTGGGGTCATTTTCATCATGTGATACCACCTCAAATTCCAGGTCCTTCACAATTTAAAAAATTATGTGCAACTATTGGATAGGTGTACAAAACATTACATGTTCTCTAGATCCCAAATTGTCGGTAATAGCAAACCAGAAGGAATAGTGTTTTCTGTGTATCACTGTTTTCTCTTGTTATTTGCTTCATGTCACTGAATTAATGTGGCATTTGGTTTCATGCAGTTGCCATAATATAAACATTAACTCAACTCTGTGCCCAGCATCCTCTGGAAGTTATATAGTCATTCCCAACACGATCTGCTACTCTGTGCTGATTGAGTAGTTCATGAATACATATAAAAAAAATGAAATAATTTATATTTAGAGGAAATGCGACTGTGACTATATAGTAAAATAATAAAATTCAAACTCTACCTGGAAGTGGAGCTGCACTTTTTCCATCTCAACCCCCAAAAATTTTGCTTTGATTTCAAAGTCACCCACTTCTTCTCCAGGTGTGATATCAAACATCACATTCTTAAACCTTGAAACAAAAAGAAGGGCAATTGATAATGTATGCTGGGCAGTTTTATATAGGCCAGACAAAATTTTTGGGAAAAAGCCTGCAGAACACAAAAGCTTTGGCCATAAGCAGTGTAAATGGTGTTAGAAGAACCACTCCATTTCTACTGCAATGTCTTCTTGGAGACTTTCTAGTGTACATATAGTATGGAATATAGAGCTTTTATACTGGAATAAAAAAGGGCTGTGGGAAGTTCAGGGAACAGATAACCAAGTGTCCACATCATAAGAGCAGGGCAGACAGATTTTCATTCTGTCATGCCCGAGTGTCTTCTTGCAGGTGTGTACACACTCTCCTCTGGCTTCAGTTTGCTTCCTGTGGCTTCCTCTGCCTGATGAACGCACTTGGGAAAAAATTGCAACCTGGAAACAATTTTTTCCATGCAGAAGAGAGATGGAAGGGTGCAGAGGATGAAAGCCTCAAAATGAGTAGATACAAAAGGGATGTTAAACCACCACATTCATTCACCTTGCCATAGTGAGGAAGTGCAGAAAACCAGGTGTTTACTCAGTTGTATGAAAGGGATTGGTCAGTAAATGAAAAAAAACCAACCTGCTACAACTGATTAACAAGTCAGTCATTAGCAGTGAGTGTGCTGCCAGACTTGTACTGGTTCCATCTCAGCTAATGCAAAGTAGGCTTATTCAAATATTTTCCCAAGGTAATCATATAGGTACAAGGGAACAAATGAATTGTGACAATTAGGCTTTATCATTCTTCTGAACGTAAAAGTCCGAGGTAATTTTAGGTGTGGCACAGGAAATTGCTAAGATTTCTTTTAACAAAAGCCAAGCCTCCTAAGAAGCTGTTTATTAGAAATTGCTCTCTGTTGTTTTATATGACACTTACTGGTTGGTTTGAAGATCTTCAATTTCTAGGATGACACCTTTTTCATGCAGTCTTGCAGCTGTATACTTTATTGAGGCTTGCTTCAGTTTTTTGCTTCCCTTCACCTCCTCTTTTCCATCTAGTTTAATTGACCTCCGTGAATTTCTGGGAAGAGAGCAAGAAAAATGGCTTTTGATTTACCTACCAGGTTTTTTTTATACTTCAACTACTCTTCTAGCCATTTTAACCTTTCCTTCACTCTTTGCCTTCTTGAACTCCTATTAATGAACAGAATTAACTTTGAAAAAAATCTAACAATTGGAGGGAATTTTGGCACACTGAATAGTCTAAACATTTTCACAATGATTTTGAATCAATGTTTTTTAGCACTAGCTTAAACTCTATTGTGAAATACAGCCCTGATCCAAAAAGAGTCCACAATTATCACTTTAAAATAGCAAGTAACTGCATCATACCTGGAAAGTAAAATTCTTTGGGCATTTATTTTCCCTTTTTTCATTATAAAGACAAAATCTAACCCTTTTAATGAAGAAAGGAAATAAATAATTACTTCCCAAAGCTACATGACTTCAAAGCATGCTAATGGATCTGCAAAGTAGCACCAATTAAGTATGTTGAAAAAATGTATACATCTCAGGCCTCTTTCTGTAAGGTGGCTTTAAATAAATGCAAGACTTTACTTTCCAGGTTTTGACTCAGTGACAACTTCCATGGACTTTTTAATCTATGGATTGTCAATCTGTTGGGATCAAAACTTTCAACTACAGATTGACACCTGCTCTCCTTCCTCATAAAACACACTGAAATATTAAAAGACAAGAAGACTCAACTCACTTTCTTGTTAAGTTGTCTAAACAAGTTTTTATATAGGTGTTGTAATAATTAATTTGCTCTTCATAAAATGCTGTCTTGGAGTTAAGTGCATTCAAAGTCTGCTGGAGTTTCACCAATTCAGCTTTTCGATGATGTCTGTATCTTCTTTGATTCCGGATATCCTAAATAAATTTATTAGTATAATTGATTTTTTAATTAGATATTTTTAAAAGTCTCAGCTTATTACCATTCACATCTGTAATTACACAACATGACTTAGTTACAGGGAGAAAGTTCTTACAAGTGCAGTACCAGTAGCAAGTAATACAGTTTACGTGACCTTACAGAAGACAACAATCTCATTGCTACTTGTATACAAGTGGTGATATCTTGAACTCTGCTATGGTCTCCAAGGCATGACAGACAGAAGTCATAAGGAAGATGTCGTCTTCATGGTATAAATGGAAGCTTTCTCACAGCTAGTTTCTGCTGAGAGGCCTATGAAATGAGAGACTGGGCTTCTACTAGATAAGAACTAGCTACTGCTAAACTAGAGCTTGAGTTGAAGGCAATGAAGGTAATGGTTTAGTTGAGGTAGTCAAAAGTGAAATAAAAGTGACTTCTGATTCTAAGGCTCATCCCAATCTTCAGATCACCTTAAGGGCTCATAATAAAGCATCTGGGCTTATAGATAAAAAATAAAAAAAGAATGAGGCACTGAATACATATGTAGAATGTTTTTTGTCTCAAGTAGAAGCAGATGCAGACACCTGAACCAAGCAGGGCTTTAAAACTGCCCTGAAGCAGGCACTTCAGAGTAGGTACAACATGGCATACTTAATTATATTAGAGACTTAGCTCACATGAGCAATTTACTCATTTATATATTAAAATATGTTTGCAACTTTTAAAGAATAAATATTTCTAATATGTAAATCACTCATGTGAGCTATGAGTAATTTACTCATGAGTAATTAAATATAATCCAATATTACTCATGAATAATAAAAGATAATCCAATACACGAAGATTCTTACAGCCAGTATTGGGTATGGATTTGGAACAGGATTTGCCAATTTGTACCCATCAGGCCCAGTGCTTTATCAACCCTAAGATGAGCACTGCATTGGCCCAGTATTCATTTTGTGTCCTGCCCAACCACTGCAGATCAGTGTTAATATCAATCAGAGAATGTTTTGTGGGGGTTTTAAAGCCTTTTTAAACCTTACCAAGACTACATTAATTATGAATTGAAACACTGATGGGTAATTCTGATTCCTTTTAATATATAAAAAGCTATATTGAAACACATTGTACTGGAGAAGTTAAATCAGCAGCGATATCAAATCTGGATAACAAAGTCCACAGCTGTATGTTATTCATAGTAGTTATGCAGGAGCATACTGTCTTTCACTTATTTTGTCAGCAAAGACAATTTGTTTTTTATGTGGATACTTGAGCAATTTAGTGTAGCATTGTCTAGAAAATACACATTGTACAACTCTAGCTGGAATGGATCAAGGCTAAATGCCTAAAACTCAAACATACAGAGAAGCACATCCTGTTTACCTTAGCAATCTCATTTATAATTTCCTGGTACTTAGTTGCTGAAGACACTAGTCCTGCTTGTTCCAATGTCCGGAGATTTCTCTGAATTTTCCTTTTCTTTTGTTCTGTTGGTAGCTGCCCATCTTCAAAAATAGACTGACTGTGCTTCATTTTCTCTGGAGTTTTGGAATCTAAGATGGCACGTTTTTCTACAAGTTTCAAGTGCTCAGATTCCTGGGTTAAAAAAAAATAAATATCCAGAACAGTTATTTTTCAGTTCATGATAACAGTTAAGTATTGAAGTACATTGAATTCTCAAAGGAGACCATCAAGAATCACGGTGCAGGCTTTATTTATAGCCTCTTACCACACAGACTGAAAGCGCTCCATTTACTGTAACTTTTGACGTACCTTAATTAAGTAATCACGACACTTAAACATTTCAATTTCAGTTAATGAAAACATGTCTAAAATCAGTCAGGTGATTCAATGACTTCACTTAGTTATGGGAAGACTGTCCAGATCTCACAGGTGTCCCCTAGATATACACACACTGCGGTAAGCTAAAATGTGCACCTTACTGAGATGTAGTTTTGTGTGTCCATATCTACAAGAAAGTCTTCAACTGGGAGCTTTTCCCACTCAATTCCCATACCAATGTTAGCAGTAGCACCCCAGGAAGATGTTTGCTTTTTTGGCTTAAGCAAATAAACTAGGTATCAGGGAACTTGAGTTAAGATACTGAAGTCCATGAGAGAAAAACAAAAAATCTAGCAGAAGGATTCAAGTCAGACTATTTGATTGTATTGTAACATAGGAGAGAAAAGACAGTTTACAAAAAATGTAAAGAACACTAAATTATTTGTCTTGTGCTAGTTAACAGCAAGACTTAATTCTTCTTTTACTCTGAAGCTATTACCAAGTCACAATAAAAGAAAATTTTCAAGTCTCATATTTGAAGGCTCTAGATCTGAATAGTTCAAAAACAGCAACAATGATTTTGTTGTTATAAAGCAGTGGAGAAAGCTGTCAGAGATCTCTTAAGGCTTTCAAATAGCTATAATAAAATATGTACTTTATTCAGGCACAGTATAGCACTTACCTGTTGTGCAGTGGCTGGTGTTTCTAATATTTCTAAGAGTGTATCCCCTGGCTGTGTTCGTATCACGTCCACAATAAGTCTTTTGGTCCTTTTAAAAAGGATATATAGATATTACAAAACAGTTGTCACTGAATCACTTGTGCATTTCATTTCTTCAACATTAAAACTAGCAGCTCCTCCTTTATTATGAATACTTGGTAATGCTTATGTTTCCTAGCTTTTTATGTTTCAGAGCTTCCATAATGTTGAATATCTGGCTTCTACATAGGTCTGAATAGAGAAAGACATACACACTTCCCCCCTTTTGTATTAGAGAACAGTTAACCAACTAGCATAGTAAAACAGTTATTGTTAACCTAACAAAAATCCAAGCAACAACTTCCATGTGGATTTTAATTATGATCGTGACAAAACAGATAGGAATGTAATCTTTGCAAAGCCTGAACTATGCATGGTTCCATTAAGGGTCATATTTACTGAATAAAGTAGAAATGTACTCAAAACTGATCTAAAGGAATTTTACATCCGACACTGTGCATTTACGCACATCACTTAAGGGCAGATGTTTCTCTAGTGGCAATGGACAAGGAGTATTTCCTTGCTAAAAAAAGGAAGCTGTTACATCCTGATATGTAAACCAGTTCTTTTTTTGGTAAGAATTTATCTAATTCCTTTTCCTGCTGCCTCTTCATCCATAATACTTCCAAGAACATCCTGCTACAGAATTCTGTTAATTTAGAGACCAAATTACAAATGAGATATAGCTCATTATTCTTAAAAATTAGCAGAAACTTGAAGACACAGCTTAAGTTTCCCAGGAAATGTCTAAATATGATCAAGGCTTCTGTAATAAAACCTCATTATTTGTTTTAAAATGATAGTTTACCTATATATAACTGGGATTTTTGTTAGTGTTTTCAGCACTAGAAGGTCTCATAAAAGTACAATGAAATGGGACAAAATATTTACTCATATACAGGCAATATTATCCAAAACCACTGAGTATTGGGTATGACCCAAGCTTCCATGGAAATAGGAAAGACTGACAGCACAGACAGACATGAAGCACTGCTCCTTCCATGCTGGAAGACAACCTGCTAAACCTCCTGGAAACCAGTTTGCTCATCTAGAGCTGCTGTTAATTGTACTTTTCCTTCATAAACTCTCTGGAATCCCCTCCAGTTTGCTGGGAGAAAAACAAAACAAATGAACAAAAACCCACAATCAAACAAAATAACCCAAACCGGAAAGGTTTCATAAAGTTGGTTCACAAGGGCTCTACCAACACATTGCTGGCTTTCTCTGCCTGACAATCTTCGTCAGTCTTTGGTGATCACCACCACTGTCTGTATTAAAGTATATGGGATGGTATTAATGTTTCATGCAGTGCCTTAGAAACAGGTGCTGACATGGCTGAAAGACACAAGGCTTATTTTCACTTCCTTTCCCTTCAGCTTCCTCTCCCCACATACCAAACCTGCTCAGCTTTGTTGTTTTCCAGAAACACCCCACTTGGGGCTGGATGCCTCCCCCTTCACCAGCCACTCGGCATGTGGCACCTGCACACTCAATCCATGGAGACCAGGCACCTGACAGAATCCTCAAAACAGGTGTACCAGCAAATCTTAGTGTACTTCACAGAAGCCTTCACAAAACCAATTTTAAAAAAAAATATTAATATTTCTATAAAAGAGGCATATCACTTGCAGAGAAACAAGGAACATTCAGTGAATTAGCTGTGACTTGAATTTTAGCCAGGTGCCTCACATTTCACAGCTGCAGTAAAAGACTTCTCTGCAGCTAAGGTAGGAAAGTGTAGCTGTGTAAACTGTATTTACACATTTCTTCTATAAAAGGTAGTGGTAAGTATTTCAACCTTTGAATATTGCTGCAATTGAACACAGGTTGCTGATTATTCTTCTGTCAGACTACTTACTAAATTTCCTTAAAATATGTAAAATATTACTTGAAAGCACTTAAGCAATAGAGAAGTTAAATTATTTCATTAATTCGCGTGCTATTGTTTCAACATATTTCCACACAGTGTAGAGGATTAAAAACATTTCTTTTGGCCTTGATTTTGCATGTTTTTTGGGATTCCATTAAGGGATAGCATTTTACTCCTACACAGAGAAAAAGACAGGAGGCCCTTTTTTTTTTTTTTTTTTTTTTTTTTAAATTACAAAACCAGCCTGGGAACTGTGCTAGAGCCTCGATCTCTGGAATACCAAGTGACTAACAGTTTTGATATGGCATGGCCATTGCTTTACCTTTACTTTAGATCTCAAGTTATATTTGATAACAAGTTACAGAAAAACCTTGACATTTTCCTGTTTAAGATTCAGATCAAGTATTCACAATTACAATGGAAAAACTCCTCTTCCTTTTAGGATAAATAGTAAGAGTTTTCTTGCACCTAAAAGTAGATTCTTTTTTCCTAAATTTAAACAGGCTTTTATGAGTTTCATAGAAGTTGCGCTACTTACTACAGATATTGTAGCTAAGGACTTTCTTCAGAAATAGAACTCCACATATTACCTCATAAATTCAGTTTACTGTTTTTTGATTTGGAAAAAAACCCCAACTAACAGATTAGAGTTGAATTACAGCCTGTATCTGCGCTCCTAGTGCTTGCAAAGGTGTAAAATCATTATGTTGTATTTCTCTTTAAAGCAAACTTCTAATCTTCACACTTGTGGGGTGAAAATAAACATAGGAATAGAGGATATCAGCATTCCATTCTCCCCCTTGTTCAGGAAGCACGTGGATCTTAAATAAGCAAATCCTTATTGTGAACAACTTGAAATAATGTCAAAAGAGGGTTGCCAATAGTTTGATACTAAGTATTGATACTAAGTGCTTTAATAAAAATGTTTTCAACTATAAAGTAGCCTATATCCCAGGATGTCCCAGTAAACATTTCTTAATTTGCTCACCAAATAGAGTAAAA